ACAATGTTTACAAAGCTGTGTATGCAGTGGCACATGCGCTGCATGATCTTCTGACATGCAAACCTGGGAGAGAGACTCTTTTCAACCACACATGCATGAACAAGATGGAAATCTCACCATGGCAGGTAAGAAGGGACCTTATAGTAATACTATCATGGTGAAAGGCACTATAGTAAGCAGCTACTGAAAAGCAGCTCTTCTGTTTAGTTTTCTAATGCAATCTGAAATCTAAAACAGCGTCACGAACTAATGGTAAATACCAAATTAACACTGAACATAATCTGCATTTGTCTAGGTACTTCATTACCTGAAAAATGTTAATTTCAAAACTAAAACTGGAGAACAACTGTCTTTTGATGAAAATGGGGATCCAGCAGCAAGATATGAATTAGTGAATTGGCAGCTCAGTACAAATGGGAACATAGACTTTGTTGTGGCTGGATATTATGATGCTTCTTCTACAACAGGGCTGCAATTCAGAATGAACAACATCAGCATGGTCTGGGCAGGCAGACAGATTCAGGTAATGCCTTACCCAGTCCATTCATTCTCAGCCTTACTGCTTGTTTAAACGTATTGAAGGATGAACACGATTTGTGTATTTAATCTATTGTGTAGCTTGCTAGATATACTGTATACAGTATAGATATGTCTAAATCAAGACGTAAAAACAGATAAAATTATTTAATGATGCTACAATTAACTTTTTCTTTTTACACAACGTTTGCATTTCATTTTATCATGTTTCATCCTAGAAGTGATTTGCAGTCATTAGAGACGATGAAGTAGTTTTCCATCATACGTTACTTAAAACGCTGCTACTGTTTCTTCTTGCTCCTAATGTTAGACATAAAATGCGTTGTATTACCTGATTATTGATTTACAGTAAATGTACACACGTAACTACCGTAATATCTCCTTCGTGTTAACCAAGGCACACCACGCCTTAAAGTTAATGCTCACATAAATTAAACAACTTATTTTTCAAATCGCGCAGGATATCCAGTAAATCAAATCATCGTCTCTTTTCACACTAACAAAACAATTTTCTAATAGACCAACAAATTATTGAGGTCGCACTGACCGCCATATGCAAACAGCAAAGCATGTTAATATCACCAGTTTTACCAGCTAATTCAAAACACTGCACCACATGCTCGATATCGTAAGAAAATAAGCACCTGTAGATTTTCAACAGCGATTTTCAACTTCCATCCCAGACAGGGCAAAGCAATGCGTTTCTAAATAAAGCCATTCTGCTGACGCAGTTCAAAGCTGAACCACCAATTATTACAATTCTACGGGAAAATGCAATCGCTAAAGCTTAACATCTGCAAAACATATCAAATTAAAGTTATTTACCATGAAACTGTGAAAACTGCATTCGAATCAACAGAACCAGAGTTGTAAGGGACATAAATTCTCTATAACTAGAAAAAAAACTGGATTTCAGCCCATCATCAAACTGACCGATTGATTTGATAGGTAGAATTAGTTGTCAGTCAATGAATTCTGACCATTCAGAACCTTAGGAGGGAATTACAGGTGTGAAAGAATAATAAGCACAAACCAAGCTTTTGTTCATTTTTCTTTGTCCGTCTGACAATCAAGTGAAGCTCAATCAGATTTTTATCATCTGGTGATCAGTTTACACCTGAAGGCTAGTAAGAAGCATATTTTACTGCCTAAACTCTATATGCAGTATAGCACTTTTTAGCACTGTCTAGAGGCTTTTAGAAATAATAATGGATTTTAAAATTATTTTCTAATATAGATTTTTAAATTTTTGGAAAGGCAGAAAAAAAACATTTTGGGTCCTGACTTCATAAAATATATAAGCAGATTTTTCTTTAGATTTGTTCAATTTAAAGCCAGCAGCCATATCACCCTGCAGCTCACAGCTGGCAGCCCACTGGAGCTCAGCAGGTGTGAGCCTGGCCAGCACAGTACCTGGATGTCTCAAAGTTTAAAAGTGGTAGTGGGCATTTTCAGCTTTCTCGGTGTACCACAACATGCATTTCTTGTTTTTTTTGTGCACATTTCTTTCTATAGAGTGGACAGTGCAAGGTACACTAAATAAGAAATTTGATGATTCAGACTTAAGATGTCCAATTTAAGCCATGAACCTGGCCTCTACTGTCTATACTTCCCAAGATACCGCAAGATGTTTAAGGACACATCCTTCCAAGAGGAAATTGCCCCTGGGTTCAATGTGAAATGTAACATTTTCAGTAAACTTGACTGAAAATGTCAAGAACTATCACATTATTGTGTGTTGATTTCAAGGCTCCTGTGTCAGTGTGCAGTGAGAGCTGTCCTCCAGGCACTCGGAAGGCTGTTCAGAAGGGAAGGCCTGTCTGCTGCTTTGACTGTGTACCATGTGCTGAAGGGGAGATCAGCAACCAAACTGGTAAATAGTGTAGAACATAGAGATATACAGTATGTACTTAATTAACTTTTGTATTCCTCTTTTCTTCATATTTTCTGGGATTAAAAATGCTCATTACGGTTACTAATTAAAATCTTAAATAATGGCTATACACTTTCCTTAAATGTAAATACAGACATTTTGTGGAGAAAGGATATTGCTCTCTTTTGATATAAAAATAACTATTTTGTAATTAATTCTATTTGTAATATTTTCTTTTAGATTCCATTGACTGTACTAAGTGCCCTTTGGAATACTGGTCCAACGATCGGAAAGACAAGTGCATCTTAAAGGAGACTGAATTCCTATCATATGGAGAAATAATGGGAATACTACTAGCTGTGTTTGCTTTACTGGGAACATTTTTAGCTGTGGCTACAGCAATTGTCTTCTTTAGATTTAAAGACACTCCCATTGTCAAAGCCAATAACTCTGAACTGAGTTTCCTTCTGCTCTTTTCATTGACTCTGTGTTTCCTCTGTTCACTTACTTTCATTGGCCAGCCCTCTGACTGGTCCTGTATGTTGCGCCACACAGCATTTGGGATCACATTTGTCCTGTGCATCTCTTGTGTTCTGGGGAAAACAATAGTGGTGTTAATGGCCTTTAGGGCTACACTGCCAGGCAGTAACATTATGAAATGGTTTGGCCCCACACAGCAGAAGTTAAGTGTTCTTGCTTTCACTCTTGTACAAGCTTTGATATGCACCTTATGGCTGATTCTATCCCCCCCTTTTCCCAATCAAAATATGAAATATTATAAAGACAGAATCATTCTGGAGTGTGACCTGGGATCTGCAGGTGCATTCTGGACTGTATTAGGTTATGTTGGGCTCCTCTCTGCCATGTGCTTTGTGCTCGCTTTCCTGGCTCGGAATCTACCTGATAACTTTAATGAAGCCAAATTCATTACATTCAGCATGCTCATATTCTGTGCTGTCTGGATCACCTTTATCCCAGCGTACATTAGCTCTCCTGGGAAGTTCACTGTAGCTGTAGAAATATTTGCTATTTTGGCTTCTAGTTATGGTTTGCTTTTCTGCATTTTTTCTCCAAAATGTTATATCATATTGCTGAAACCTGCAAGAAATACCAAAAAACATATGATGAGCAAAATGCCTTCAAAATCCCTATAAACTTCAATGGTTATCAAATCTTTCTGATACATAAGCATCACTTTAAACAAGATATTAACATCCTAAAAGCTTAAGGGATATACTGTACATGCACATTGTCTTAACATTCAATTGTTCATTTAATTGTTGAATTTAACTGTTCATTGTACAAAAATGCTTGATCAAAAGTAAAAAACAGATGTACAAAAAGAGGTTATTACTGTTAAATAATCATTGCAAAAATAATATGTTATACTGTATACTGTTTTAATATGTACTACTAATAATAAAATATAACAACATACTTTTGGCTCTCTATTTGTGCAGTATACAGTAAGACCCACAAGTAAAATTCCTGTGTTATGAGGGAAAGAAACATATTTGTTAATGTAATAGTAAAGATACACTTCTTAAAGAATGGTGAAGGAACAAAATAATTTCAGTAGTATTTAAGAAGGTAAAGAATGACTTTTTTAATAATACACTTAGACTGACAGACTAACAGGAAATGTAAGGAGAAAGATTGTTTATGTACAGTAAACATGCTTACTGTATGTTATGTATATGTACCTTTAAAAATTACACAAGCAGCTCTGCTGTTTAACAAAAAAATATCCAGAATTTCTAAAAATTCCATTTTGTGTTATGTTTGTGAGTGCATGAGAATGAGAGCTGTATTTCATACACGGTAAAAATTAGAAAATAAAACATAAAGCACTCAAGTCACTGGACCACAGCCAGAGAAGTGTGTTCTGCGCCTTCTTTTTCTTGAAGAAGTAAGTGACTAAGAAGACTTCCCAGTCACTTAGCCTACACTTACTTAATCACACTGAAACCCTTTGAACATGGAAAATGTGAAGTAACAGCTCAATTGGATATAGTCTGCATTTCCGAAATAAACGTTTGATTAACTTATTTATAAATATCACAAAGCAAACAAAGCTCTTTAGGAAAGTAACACAAAAACATAACACAGTGTAGGTAAAAGTTTTTTTATTTTTCCTTTATTATTATTATTTAAGTTGTTTTGATTCACAAGAGACGTACATTCTTCCCTTCCTACATGACCCCAACAGTGCCCTTGTGGGTATAGTCTGGTTCTTTACTAGTTAACCCTCTCTGTGCCACAATGCTTCACTGAGAAATGCCTAAACAGCATAATTCATGTCAAGTAAAAGCATATGCATAGAGAAATCCGTCAATGCATTTTTCTTTTCTGAATAAAGTACAGTATATGTTGTAGGTGGGGTGATTTAAAAAAAATGACATCTTGTAGTGTTTTAAGAAATAGAAAGAGGATTCCTCTGCAGCAAGTTTTGTTAGATAGTTTCTGGAGCTTTCTGAAAGTTATTGCAATCTACATTGAGTAAACTACCTTGGCTGTACTTTGAACCTCTGTTTTTGGAAGAATTCAGGCTGTATTTCTATATTAAAAACAAACAGTAATGATTTCCAAGACCTTACATTATTCCTTTGGGAATGAAGGGCCTGCAATCATTACATTATTCCTTTGGGAATGAAGGGCCTGCATGGCAAATCCCACATTAAAATGTGTGTCTGTGACAAGATGTTTGTTTGCTGTTTTCCTCTAGAAGAAAACTTGTGAACTTTTTGACAAATGCGTACATTTAGAATGATACTGCTGTTCTTGTCATGAAAAGAGACAAGTGATTGGGTGGTCTCCTCTCATCTCTGTAGCATTACAGAGTAGTGCTACATTTCAAGTATTATTTATACTCACAACTAAAGCTTTATCCAATTAATAATAACAAAATTGAAATATATTAGACAAACCATTACAAGCATTTTCTGGTTAAGTGTCGGTATCTTTATCACGATAATTAAACTTTGAATTGCATTACTAAAGAAATAACAACAATTTGATATTCCAGACATCTGTTAAAGGAAACACCTTTTGTCTGTAGTGTTTTCAACCTAAACACTACAGGCAGGCCATTTGAGAGATGGCTTTAACCCTCCCAAAAACAGTCTGGAGTGACTCTTGGACATTTTCATAAATATAAGTAACAACAGTAGAATCTATTTAAAATACTGAATTTCAGCAATCAAGCTTCATGCAAAATGCACCAGATTTTCTAGCATTCACCTATAGAAGTGTATCATTTTGACAGATGTACAGTGCCGTGCAAACGTATTCACCCCCCTTGGACTTTTTCACATTGTATTGTGTTACAACATGGAACCATGATGTACGTACAGTATTTAACCGATCATTTTTGCCGCTCATCAACACAAAGTACTCTATAATGTCAAAGTGGAAAAAACATTTTACTAGCATTTTAGAGACATTTTACTAAATTAAAAATAAAAAACAAAAAAATAATTGAATGGATACGTATTTTTTTCAACAAAGGCTTTCTTCTTGCCACCCTTCCACACAAGACAGATTTATGAAGTGTGCGTGCTGCTGTTGTCTCATGGACTTTCTCCCATCTCTGTCATGGAGGACTGTAACTCCTTCAGAGTTGCCATAGGCCTCTTGGTGGCATCCCTTACTACGGCTTTTCCTGCCTGACACTCAGTTTTGGAGAATGGCCAGTTCTGGTCAGATTCACAGTTGTTCCATATTTTCTCACCTTTTTAATGATGGACTTCACAGTGCTTTGAGGTATATTCAATGCCTTGGAAATGTTCTTACAGTATATCCTTGACCTGACTGGTATTTTTCAAGAACCTGGTCTCAGATCTGCTTGGAATGTTCCTTGGTCTTCATGGTGTAGTGTTTCCTTGGAAATGCACTACCTAAGTGGGGAAGCTTCCAGACTCAGGTATATATATTCTGAAATCATGTGAAGCAACTCAGCTGCACACAGTAATTATGTGACTTGGAGAAGAGAGTTGGTTCCTTTAGGGGTAATGTAGGCGTGTCAAAGCAAGGGGGTGCATTCAATGATTTTCTGTTGTTTAGTTTTAATTAATTTAGTAAAATGTCTGGATTTTTTTTTCACTTTGACATTATAGAGTACTTTGTGTTGATGAGTGGCAAACATTCTCAGTTAAATACATCATGGTTTCATGCTGTTACACAATAAAATATGAAAAAGTCCAAGATGGGGTGAATACTTTTGTAAGGCACTGTATATTGATAGGCTGCTTCTTCATCCTAGAGTTAATCCCGCATCGGCAGGGACCGCTTGTCGGCACGCCCGTCTCCATTTGGCACAGTCATAGGTGTCCTCCGGGGCGACGTCCACTTTCCGCATGTCTTCAGTAATCCAATCCATCCACCGCTTCGAGGACCGCCCTCGCGGCCGTCGACCCTGTGGGCTCAGTCACATCGCTGTCTGTGCCACCATGTGCTCTCCACTTCTCATCACACCGCAGTCTTCCTTCTCGCATCTTCTCCCTTATTGGTGCCACTCCCATGCGTCGACGGACGTCGTCATTGAGGACGTGGTCAAATCTTGTTAGGCCGAGACACCACCGGATCATCCTCATCTCCATGACATGGAGGGCCTGCTCATGCCTTGAAGTTGCTGGCCAGCGTTCCGATCCACACAGGGCGAGAGGGTGGACAACGGTCTTGTAAACTTTGGCCTTGAGTCCATAGGCTGCTAAAGATGTAGAAATGTGGCAGCAATCAATAAGTGGACAGTCAGCTTTCTGAGCTCGAAGAGTTGCATTTAAGAAACACGTGGTAGTGTGGGGTCATAGTTTGGGGGCTGGACTTTGAGTTAGAAAGCTGTGGATTCAGGTAACAGATCGGTCGTTACTTGAAAGTAATGTACTTCACTCTTTAGTAAATTGCTTTAGTAAAAAATGCCAAGGAGTATACAGTACATACAGTATGTACAAACATCAAATGTTTTACATACAGTAAGTGCAAGTAAGGTTAAATAATAAAATGGCTTTCTAGTCACGTCAGTCAGCAAGAGTGTATTGGTTGCTCTCTACCTTTTCACTCTCTTACAGTACGTAATTAATTTGTGTAATATCTGGACAATAAATTCAAAACCTGAAAGGCATTTTGAGTATTTAAGGTGGCTTTTTCCCAAAACTTATATTCCAGAACATGATCCATTAAAAGACAGTGTACATGTTCCGGTGGCTTTCTTTTTGAAAAAAAGACACTGCTCTAAAACTGATGTGGCGTTACTGCTAAAAGTACAAAATATCGAAGGAACACAAAATTCCTACGTCTGAAACAAAATTACAGTATTTCCAAACTTAAACGTGATACAGTAGATAAATCGGCGGAAACATGAATATTAAACTACCGGTGTATCTTAAATTTTGCATTGCGGCGCAATCCATATTCAAACAGCATCATCGAAACATCAAGGGACAGAGTGAACACACCACAGAGCAATAGTTTGATACACAGCCATCTGCAACTGATGCAGACGTCAAATGGCACTTATATGAGCTGCTGCTGGTTACAAAAACAAGTTTGAAGCAGTGCTTCAGATATTTAATGCAGCATCTTCGTTAATTTAATTTCCTTGACCATTGTTTGCTTTATTTTTATCTGAAACTTTGAAAAGATTGCTCCACGTTATCTAAACACAGTGAACGGCTGTCACCAGCGAGGCTGAAATGATTTAGCCTCCAGAGATCACGGTTTATTCTGCATTGGGCACGCGGCTGACTAAAATCATGCATCTTGACCATGTGGGATTTGTAAGCGCATATAAAATAGAACAATCACAATAATATGTTCTGTGTTATTTCTCTGCGTTACTTGTAGTGCATAATGGATGTGTGCGTCTTGATGTTTTCTGTGTGGTATTTCTCATTTCAGGTCTGCGCTGAGTGGACATGTAGGATACTGGGAAATTTCGGAATGCCTGCTTTATTTAAGAACGGAGATGTTATAATCGGAGGTATTTTCCCCGTTTTTAACAAACAAGAACATATCTACACCCCTTTTCAAACGGAACCACCAAAAGCAAGCTGCGTTGGGTAAGATATTTATAACTGCGAAATTGCGGTCAATTAAATTGGGAAAGGTTAATGCAATTCAGAAAGGTAAAAACAGTTTTCGTCTTTGTAGCATTATTCTAATTATTGTTGTTGTAGCCAACCCTGTCTATAGGGACACCTTACAACTCCTGTGTTTATATGAAATTTACAGTAACAAACCGTTGCTGAGATTAACGACCGAGCACAGTAAACTCGTTAAACTGATCAACATTTAGTTCACTGTTCCTGAACATCTATCAGACCAACCGAACCGCTTATAATTATTAGTGATTTGACAGTCGTCGCTTACAGGAATCACACGTATACTAATAATTAGATCTAAAATGTCAATTAATCATAACAGTGACTGCAAGAAAACACCAACAACAGCAAATACCATGAATCTATACTTCATGGACAGTCTGATGAACAGTTATTACTACTCTGCGGTATGATTGAGCGGCAGTACTCGGCTTTTAAAGGTGGAGAGACGTCCCACTTAGACCTACTGTAATACATTTCATTTTAAGGGCAATTTTAAATAACCTGACTGAATGTATTCAGCTGATCTTGGAGTCCCACCCTGCCCATTTTATAAAGGGCCAACAATGCCCTCCATACAGTAAGTCTGTGATGTTGTACTGTTTTATTAGGTTTGATCTGCGAGCATTTCGATGGACACAAGGAATGATATTTGCCTTAGAAGAAATTAACTCAGACTACAGTTTGCTTCCCAACATTACACTGGGATATCAAATCGTCGACTCCTGTGCCTCTCCCACTCAAACTTTAAGAGCTGCTTTCACATTAATAAACGGACAAGAGGAGATTCAGTCTGATTCAGGATGTAATATTTCCATGCCTGCAGTTATTGCTGAATCTGGATCTTCTCAATCAATTGCAATTGCTAGGACGATTGGACCCTTCACAATGCCTTTGGTAAAGCTTAATCTCTTTCTTTATCTTATTAACATCAAGAAGCTGCAAAGTCTGTGTGAACATTGCATGCATTGCTCTTAGACTACTATACAGTATTACTCTAAAATGCACACAATTAACATTTTAACATGCATTAATATATTAATATGAGTCTGTATTTTCATATTTTACAAGGTCAGCTACTTTTCAACTTGTTCGTGTCTCAGCAACAAAAAAGAGTTTCCAACTTTTTTCCGCACAATTCCCAGTGATTTTTATCAGGCTAAAGCATTAGCTCTGCTCGTTAAGCGCTTTGGATGGTCGTGGATTGGAGCTATTGAATCTGAAAATGATTATGGAAGATTTGGGGTTCAGTCTTTCACAGAGGAAGTTCAGAAATATGGTGTTTGCATCGCCTTCACCGAAACCATTTTAAGGACCTACCCCAGACATAAAATACTCAAAGTAGTTGACACTATCAAGGAGTCAACAGCAAAAATCATACTAGCGTTTGTTCCAGAAGGTGACCTGTATCCTTTAATGCAAGAAATTACAAGACAAAATATTACTGGAATACAGTGGATAGCAAGTGAGGCATGGGTAACAGCAGCGAGACCCTCCACTGAAGAAATATTCAAGTCTTTTGGTGGCACAATAGGGTTTGCAACTCGCAAAATGGCAATTCCAAAATTCAAAGAATTCCTGCTCAACATCCATCCATCTGTCTATCCTGGCAGCAGTTTTGTTAAGGAATTCTGGGAAAACATATTTGGGTGCAGTCTGCTTTTGAAAGAGGAGCCCCCTAAACACAATGGTACTCAGGGCAGCACTAAGACATGCACAGGAAAAGAGAGACTGGACGCAATAGAAAATGCTTTCTTTGATGTCTCACAACTAAGAGTGACGTACAACGTATACAAAGCAGTGTATGCTGTAGCACATGCACTTCATGACTTACTGTTCTGTGAAAAGGGAGAAAATAGCACCATTAAACTCTGTGGAGATATTGCAGGATTGAAGCACTGGCAGGTACAGTAAGTAAAACTGGAAATGCTTTCATATCTGTGTGGGACTGTTCGCAAGACAGAGGGAGAGGGAGAAAGTCAGAAAGTGGCAAAAATATTTTAATTTGCACAATGTGATATAGAGAGGCATTTTATATATACTGTATATTGCACCATGCACATTAAAATAATGTATCTGCTTTCTGTCATTATAGCAGGGTAGAAGGACAAAGCAAACACTTTTAATTCAATACTTAATATTATACATGCTACAATATATGGGTATATATACCTAAAGGGTACCATGGCAGCCCAGAGATCTAGATACGGGCAAGAGAATGAACAAGCCAGATAGATAAGATTCGCTAGACCAAAGTGCAATAAACCAGAGCGATGTGGAGTGCGATCCAACTTGATTACATTGTTTTAAAATTCTGTCTAACAGTGACGCTGTAAATTTATTTAACTATATACAATAATTTTAACATCTTGGAATTTGTTTGTTCTGTATTGTCAAGGTCACCGAACATCTAAAAAAAGTCAGTTTTGTAAACTGTTTTGGAGAAGCTGTGTACTTTGATGAGAACGGCGATCCCCCTGCTGCCTATGACATTATAAACTGGCAACTCAACAAAGGAGTGGTCAGCCATGTGACAGTGGGTCACTTTGATACATCACCAGATGGAGGCAGTCAGCTAGTGATTGATGAGGACAGTATTGTCTGGAGCACTGGGAGAGAGGTAATATTTTAAATATTTAATTTCAAAATCCATGTAATAATTTTATGGTCCTTAAAAGAAGGCATTATAATTCATATACTTAAAAACCCAGGCAAGTATATACTGATAATGAAAAATGCTGTCTGGCAATCTCATAAAGCACCGTTTTTCAGAGTTCAAACGTACAGTACATCTGCAAATCTAATTTCCCACAAATGACATCCAAACATAAAATTTTACATAATACTGTGATGGATATTTTGGCCATATTTCCTTTCTTTCACAATGTTTTTTAAATGTTTAACTAAAACTTAATATTTCTCACTTTGTTTCTCTCTTCAGGTTCCTAAAGCAGTGTGTTCTGAGAGCTGCCCCCCAGGCACAAGAAGAGCAGCCAGGAAAGGCCAGCCCATCTGCTGCTTCGATTGCATTCCTTGTGCTGATGGTACCATAGCAAACACCACAGGTATGAACTATATATTAAATATATTTACAGAAATATGTATATTATTTCAGTTAAATGTGATATTGCATTTTTTTAAATCAGCACTTTTAGTTTTTTCACTTCTACAACTTGTCAAAGTAAGGCCATTATCATAACAATATTTTGACTTGCCCACCAATCACAACTTTCAAATTATGTTTTTCAAAAGAGTATTAATCAGCTTCTTGTTTTACTCAACAGAATCCACCCATCATGTTGATGGGCTTAGAATTTGTCACTGGTGGGTAATTTAAGATACAGATTTACATTAATTCAATTGACTATCTTTCACCACACAAGAAAGATGTAGTTTAATCAATTTTTCAAATTGTCAAGTAACTCAGAATATATAGCTTTACAAAACAAATGAGATGTATTTATGAATACAGAATTTCTCAGCTGGTACTTACTTATTATTTTAGGAATCTGTCAAAACTTTTAAAACATACAGTATCAACCAAAACTACTTCTCAATATAAAATAACAATGCATTTAGGGGGGTTGGATCGATAAATATGTTTTAAAAATTAAACATATATAATATATATATAATACTTCTAATGGTTTATCCAGGAGGTTTGCATGATAAAATGAGGAGGTAAAATGTTTTAATAGGGTGAAAAAATCTCAACTGCTTTAAAATGGATCTGTATGAAGAAACAGACACTGGGACATCTCAGTGTCACTAGGCTGTAAATTTAAGAGGTCACCTCACAATTTGTACAGAATCCTGCCTTTAGGCAGCACTGTACAGTATATGTAATATATTAATTGGAATTCCATGTTTATGGTAAGTAAAGAAGTAGAATTCTGAGTTGAAAAAGAGGCATATTATAAAAATGTATATTTCTTTTTCCTATTATATTTTGCAGGTTTTGACAGTGTTCCACTATGCACTCTTACAGTATATGATTTTCTACATACTGTACAGATACAGAGTACAATGTCAATTCATTTTAATATTCAAGTTAATTTAAAATAAAAAAATGTATATTTTATAACTGATTAAATGCATTGAGAATAATTATTGGGTGGTTTAATTTATTGATCTAGTCTTCTTCTTCTTCTTCTTCTTCTTCTTCTTATTATTATTATTATTATTATTATTAATGATTAAAATATTAATGGTACTAAATATGAATGTATAGGTCAGTTGATTAGGGTGGGTGTTGTCTTTGATTTGTACACTTCAGCAAATTTTATACTGTATTTGTAATTGTAAGATTGTATATTTATAATAAAAAGGCACTTTTTCTAGTATAATAGTTTGTTCTTGGGCAAAAAACATGTTCATGATCCAAAGGCCATTCGGAAATAATGGATAATGGACACTCCTCCCCCCTATTATTACATTAAACCAACGGTTAATTATTATCTCTGTTTTGTTCACCCTTTTCCATTGTTTATTTTCAGGTGCCGCTGAGTGTATTCATTGTCCACAGGACTACTGGTCTAATGATGGAAAACACAGCTGCATCCTCAGAGACATTGAGTTTCTTTCCTACTATGATGCAATGGGAATCACACTCACTACTGTGTCATTGTTTGGACTCTGCTTGACAGTAGCCAC